TTTTATTTTTACTAATAACATTAATCAATTGATCACTGATTTTCATTTATTTTAGGGGAGTTATTATCGAACGGACGATTCGTTTTGGGACTCATATCCTATTTCATAATCTATACTTTATCAATGGTAAATATACAACTTGTCTTAAAAAATCAATAATCATTGATCGGGGCCGGGAAATGAGAATTGGTTATCAATTTAATACCATTCATAGCTGATGCACGCAACTCAATTGCACAGGCCTTAGGCCTGGGAACGACTTTAGTTCTACCTTCTGTTCAATCAATCTATCTATCAACGTCGTGTATAGTCCCCCATGATGCTTTACGAACTTATAAATGATCACGTGACCTGATAACACAGGAGCCCCATAGTCAGTTGCTCCATATCATTACGTCATATTAATGTCACGTGATTAGATGAAAGTCACATGTGTAACCATCATCAATCGTGCCTTTATACGAGAACTATCACATGGTCGATGTTACAGCGATCGAAGAAGGAAGGACTGCATTTCTTCTCGTTTTGTAAACTATATGCTTCTTGACCTCAGAGGTCATTTTTTAATTAAAAACCTGAAACTTTACACCAAGATATCTGATAATCAAATGCATTGCGCCATGTCGTCTTTAGTTGCATTAGTAATGATAGGATATGAGTTTTAAGAGCATTTAAAGCATTTATTTTAAATTTTTTTGAAAGAGTTGCCTTTGGAGATTCCCCTAAATAGTATAAGCTGGTTAATAGGGTTCTTTCCTTTAAACATTGCATCAAAAATTGTTAAAACATAAAAGTGTTGTTTATATGACCTTTTTAAATCACACGAAATTTGCATATTTTTTGCGGTGTAAAAAATTATCATTTCATCACGATGTACAATATTACAATATCACCCTTGCTAGCCCGACTTCACGCTACGTTAGCGTCTAGTATTATGAATGCAATTGAAACTTGAGAAAAACAGGAGGATATTACATAAAATATAAAAATTAGATTAAAATATATAATAAGAGCGTCTAGTTCAAAATATCCCAACTCTCTTMAGACTAAAATAAACTTGACCTAAAAGGTCATGTAATTAATATAGCAATGAACTGATAAAATCAAACGTGCTATGTAGAGATCTAAAGTGACGCTAAGTGATAACGTTGACCTCTCAGGCCAAGAAAATACTTTACAAAGTAAATGATACCTATAAAATCATTAAACTCGCCTTTTGTTGTTGATAAAAAATGTTTCTTCTTGTTCTAATTCGAAATCTTTGCCCACACAACACTGCCTAACGCTAAAAAGGCCATTGATTTAGTTTCGAAAGCATACTACTCGAAGCACCAAGCAATCTGCACATGCGCGTACTTATGATACATAGACTGATGCATTCCGATGAGATCACAGATACCACATTTGTAAACGAATAGTTTTTTTGTCATATAAAACCGCGAGTAGTATATAACATTTATTAACGATATTCGTACATCAATACGTTTGAGCTTCCGGTCATGTAATAACACAGCCAACCCAATAGTTGATTATTAAATTCTTAACTTCCGGTGATCCAAACGTGACATGACACATAGATAGATAGATAGATAGATAGATACATGCATCAGTACTTTCAGATTGAAGTTAGGGTCGCAGTGCACCATGGGGCGATTGACCTGGAAAAGTGAGCACCAAGTCTACAATGGCCGTCATGTGTGAACTGTGAACTGCTTATGTCAAACACTTTTTTCGATTTTTTCTTTGTCAATATCGAATACCTCTGAGACGACTTCAAAGATAAAAGATATTCTGAGACTATAACTCGATATAATTAACAGTAAGTATATTGTTTAATGTATTTTTCTGACTTTAAAAAGCTTTACAATTCACTCGCGAATTCGCGGGAATGTGTGAAGACTCGTGTAGAAAGCTAAACTTTATGATTTATTGAATATTTTATCATAGGTATGGGAGTTGGACATCGAAACGGCGTAGTTGTAGGCTGTCTAAATAATGGCAAGAAGATGAATAAATGGCTCGGTTCAGACTGCGAGATACACCATTGCAAGAGAGCAACAGAGGGTTGTGATTGTAAACCTCCGTTCAGGCTATTTCCGTTCCCGACCGAAAAGAAAAACTTAGAAGCCTGTAAGCGCTGGACAAAGCTTATTAAAAGAGTCGAGCCTTCAGGCAAACCTTGGTTCCCTACTAAATCGTCAAGAGTATGCAGTGACCATTTCATATCAGGGCAGMCAACAACTAACGATCCTGACCCAGTTCTTAACTTGGGCTATGATCGTCGCCAACATCGTAAGCGAAAAGAACCCACTGATAGATCTGGACTGCCAGCCATAAAGACTTCTAAAAAAGCCAAATCAGAATCACCCGTTCTTGAGATTGAGAACCACGGGAATATCAATGGTGATATTGCAATTGAAAACGAAGAGAATGACAATGATGAAAATAAACAAACTCATCAAACGTGCGACGAAAATAAACAAAACATTCTACACGATCATGGCTAYAGCTATGGATGGTCGGAGATATACGATTCTAATTATTGCTCTGACCTTAACTGTTTAGCAAGGWGGAAAGATAAARACGAAGAAATAAAACGTCTTCAAGCCACAATCGATGAGCTGAACAAAGACCTAGATGATTGCCGAACAAAGSTAAACAATTGTGAAACAAAGCTGGCTATTTGTCAATCAAAGCTACACGCGAAGACACAAAAAGGTYTGAGATACACCGATATTGAAACTGACAAATGTCTCAAACTCTTAACTGGCATACCATCARTAGAAGCCTTTGAAAWATTATATGATGTTCTTCAAAATATGACGAAGAAAGTCAAGTATTGGAGTGGCCCGAGAAGGTCTGTCAAAAAAGGGAGAAATTTTAGAAGAACGCCAAAAAAGTTTGGTATAAAAAGAATCCTTTCACCAAAGGATGAGCTTCTATTAACATTGATGAAACTGCGTTTGGGATCAACAAATGCAGACTTGGGGCAGCGATTTGGCATATCATCCCAACTTGTGTCAAATACATTCACTACATGGYTGAAACTCTTAGCTACCGAGCTACAATGTCTGATTTACAACCCTCCCATTGAAGTTGCACAGCGGTTGCTGCCTTCTAAATTTAGAAATGCTGGGTGTTCTAAAGTGCGCCACATAATCGACTGCACTGAAATATTCATAGAAACCCCCAGTGATCCAACCTTGAAGGCATCAACCTGGTCTGATTATAAGCACCACAACACTGCAAAGCTACTAGTTTCAATCACTCCCAATGGTACCTTCAATTTCATTTCATCTGCATGGGGAGGAAGAACATCTTATGTCCACTTAACAAGAGAATGCAAATTCTATGACATAATAGAGCCATATGACGAGGTAATGGCAGATCGAGGGTTTACAATCGCAGAAGACCTGATACTAAGAAATGCAAGACTTCATATTCCACCAGGCACGTGAGGCCAAGAGCAATTCACAAAAGCAGAAGAACAAAAAACCAAGAAAATCGCTAACTTGCGCATCTTTGTAGAACAAGCAAYAAGAAGAATGAAAACATTTCGCCTGATAAAACATGAACTCCCCATATCTCTTTTAAGTCACATTGATGATATTGTTATTGTATGTGCTGGCCTCTGTAATTTGTACYAGCCTTTGTGCAAATCTTGATTTATGATTAAAAGAATACAGTACAAACTGTGTATATGTAATATTGAGTATATTATTTAACAGTTTTACTTTTTGCTTGGCTTCTCAAGGACAATAGAAGAATTTGGACAGAAACTTAAAAATGAATGTAATAAATTTCAAAAGCACTTATTGAGCACAATATATTGTATTTTTTATAAGTATAGTTTACAACATGAGCGGCCGTGTTGTATGGGAATTACAATCTCGAGCCGCAGGCGAGAGATTGTAATTCCCATACAACACGGACGCGAATGTTGTAAACGACTTATAAAACTCCAACACAAATTAACATGAATTACAGTGAGATAAATGACGAAAAATGACAAATAAGGTAACTGCTGAGTTTAGTCCCTATTAAGCATGCGCAATTTACTGCAACACAGAACATTTTGAATAATTATCCATCCCACATGGAAAGCAAGCCATCTGTTGCATAAGCGAGTTCTGTTATCCGTCTTTGATTGCTTCAAAACCTAGTGAAGGTCTATGATGCGACATTAAAACTGAGACCTTTGCTAGTGTTGGGTTGTCTCAATGGTGACGACCGTGTTGTAAATCTGATACAACCACTAGTGGTTGTATCAGATTTACAAGGTCAATCACCTGATTAAATGGTCAGCCCTTATTGGAGCAATAGCTTATGCATTATTAATAAGTTTTATAAATACATTTATGAAACTGTTCTTCCATTCTCTTCTTGTGACAATAGAATAGATTTTATAAAAGTAGTCAATATGACATGTAGTCATTACAATGTACATTGTAATAACTAATTTGACCTTACTGCTAGAGTGGTTTCAATTAATCAGTGAAACAAAATCTAATAGTCTGGACAAAAGAAAACAATAGAAAGAGGAGTTAATAGACAAGTGTCTATTAGACTACTAACTATTTCACGGATTAATTGAAACCACTCTAACATGCAAAAATAGATGATTATACATTCAAGCAAAATCAATTCCAACAACAATTTAATATTTTCATAATAGAAGATAGAAATTCAAATATAATTCAAAAAGTAAAATTAAATATATACAAATATATATAAATTCTACCTGTTCATTTCTTTCAAGTGAACAAGATAATTGTCATGAAACCAGACTAGATTGTCTCTGATAGTGTTCCAATAACCTTCATCAAAGTGAATGAGTTCTAGGTGCAAGCCTTTTGCTGTATATACAAGAAAATGGCACCAATGTCGTCCACTAATTGCCATTTGTCYTTGTATTTGTGAGTAGTACAGAGTCCTCTTTTTAAGTTGGGTAACTCCATCAATAGAAACAAGGTAGGGCAGGTTCTCTTCACTTGGTTCTTGATTTACGATAGAATAGGGGCATTTAACCTCAAGCAACCCTAGCCCACAACACGAACAGTCAACCAGCAAATCTGGTGATGCACCAAGGAACTGATGCTTGCTGTCAATAAAAATGCCGCACTCTCTGTAATTCACATCAGTATGTTGGCTTTTAAATAGAWCCAAGTATTTCTCCTTTGCTACAGGCTCCATTTCTCGTCCGTATTTTAAGGCAGGAGTGTTTTCAGGAGGGGAGTTTTTGCCCAAAATTTGTGCGACTAAATTTGATGCATCCCCCCCTTTTTCCTTCAATGTCTCTGCCCTTGTAAATACTCTGTGGAATATTGAGGCAGTTATCCGGCCTTTAGGAAAAGCATGCCAATTTGCATTTTCASCTTGGCCTATAGTAGCTTGTTCAATGTCATAAATGTCTTTCACAGTAAGGTTTTTCTTTGATGTAGTTAATTGATGGCATTGACGGTCCTCTTCTTCCTCGGCTTTCATGGTTTTGATAAAACATGATTTGGGAAGCGATTGSTTCAAACCTCCATACAGAAGCTGTCTTTTCTCTGAGTTACTCAGSTCGTCTCTTGTGCTGGATGTAAACAGCGATTTCCTTACATCAACAAGGGGCCTTTTGAGGTCTGTTGATTACAAAATACAATATTAATGATATAAACCAAGCTCATAATATTAATAGAACACTGAACCAGCTGTTGCGTTTTAAAACCAATTATGTCTTGTGCTTGGGTTGCATAGTTTTACAATTTATCAGGAAAAACATSCACAATTAACAAAATTTACCACTTTAACTTAACTTGATGGACAACTAGCACCCCAAAAAATCAAGAATCATTTACCTTTATTGTGCTTGGCAGCCTTAAATACCATCTCAGATATCTGCATGGGTTTTATCTCTGTTTTGTMTCCTTTTGGGACATTCCAGACACATGGTCTTTGAGGTGCAAGCAGGATTTGTTATGCCTGCTTTGTTTGCAGCTTCCACTCGGAATAATAGTGCACTTACGTGAATACATGTGCTACCCATTCTATTTGCAGAAAGCAAAGAGTTTGTATTAACAAGTGATGCATGTATTTAACAAACATTTTGTATTAGCAAGACATTCAAAAACCAGGTTAATGTATTCACAAAATGCTTCACAAACAAAAGCATAAGGACATGTAATATACTGTAAAGAAGTATAATATACCAGAAATCAAATTTTGGCAAATCAGAGACATCAAATATAAGTATTAAGCTTACATACCCAGCAACACAGCTGCAGTGGGCACTGAAGATCTTCCCAGATTGTTTTTCAGCACAAACCCAGGTAGTGTGTGGGRTATCCTCGACTTTCATTGAGTGTGTACATTTTGCTTTTAAAAAGCAATAACTAGAGTCATTCTTGATTTCGTGATACGAAATTTCCTTTGCCAGCCTTCTGCCAGAGAGAGGGGATCTGGCAGCGTCTCCGTTGGAGTGACCAACAACTTGCACCTTTCTTTGTGTCTTTTTGTTGATAGCTCTTCACAAGTAGGCTTTATAGCTATCCCATTTCTGAGGCCGCGAAGACTCTAGCCACAAGCTCTTCCTTGATCCCACTAGTCTTAAGATTTTTTCTGTAAAATTTTGGAACTCACTGCCTGAAAATGTTTTTTCGCCAGCCTCCAGCATTGAAGTTTTTAAAAAAAAGATCACAGAGTACATGGCCAACAATCCTCTGTTGAGGGGCGGCCGTATTGGAAAATAAATAATAAATAAGATCTCTCTTCTTTAGGAATTCCTTTAGGGCATCCACACGCCAAGTCCTTACTTCTTCGAAAGTTAACTCTCCGACCGACGCCATGCTTGTCGATCGTCGAACGAAGGCCAATGTCAAACGAAAATCTCGCTCTTGTCAACAAACTTCGACAAATAGAGGAAAGAAACTAATAGCCTAAAGTTCAAAAACCTATAAATATATAATATTCTTTTAAAAGATTCAAAATTATTCACGAARGTATATAGTTGTTTACACGAAGAAGTCAAATATTCAATATGGCGGCTGATATCTGGTGCTCACTTTTTAGGCCAGGGAACCCATGATGCAATGCGACCCCAGCTTGAATGCGAAATTACTGATGCATGTATTAAGGAGGAGAATATGCCAAACTATTTTAARTTTKTAAAAATTACATAATTGACATAATCAACAGTTCAACAGTAGTGCATGTGGTATTTTTCAAGTGCCTTGAAATATTTTTCAACTTTTATACATATTGCCTGGTTAATAATTTGAAACCTGGCGCTTAAATTCCTAAAAAAATATTCTTTACAAAAAGTTTGTTAATTAAAAATAATAATAATAATAATAATAATATAATAATATGTGGTATTTATATAGCTCCGATATCCTCAGAGTTCAAAGGCGCTTCACATGTATAGATGATTTCACACGGACCGCTGTTTAAGGCGCAATTGGCAGCCACGCGGCTTACAATCATGAGGGGTTAGTAATTAGTATGGGTTAGTAGTAAGGCCTAGCCACACACACCGGGAATCATTCCCTACTCTTATGCGAACAGTGGTGTGGGTTCTTTAACGTCCCTCTAATACAGGTTAGTGAGTGAAGTGTAGAGAGACGGGACCTCCGATTTTACGTCATTATCCGAGAGGACGAGAAGATCTTACCATTTGCAGATGGAGAAAGACAAAGGCAGCAACTTCTCAATTATTTTAAGACCCTGAGTGTTTGTCCAGCCGGGGTTTGAACCTGCGACCTCCCGCACTAAAGTCCGATGCTCTACCTACTGAGCTAACCGGTCGGCGGTAAAAATTTTTTTGTACTAATTGTTTTCCTGCTGTGGAACCTGAATGGATAGACCAATATTCATAATATTATTTATCGCCGCAGAACAAAGCCCATTAGATGTTTTTTTTTATCCCTGGCATTTTGTGATCTTGTAAAATAACTTATATACTGAAAATAAAGAAAAAGCCAAACAACTTCAGTGTAACTTGAATTTTACCCTTCTTTGCACATTTCGGGCAAACTTTGTTAAGGTTTAGTGACTTTTACCCACCTTGTAACGAACTAGATAACTTCTAGTTTAGGCACTGTTTGCCTAAGTCAATAATAATAGATAGATAAACTATATGGTTTATAATCAAGGCTGGCATTTCTGCATTGATGTGCAGCTCGTGCAATAAGGACAGGTCGAGTGGTCATAAAAAATCTTCTTTTTCGTGAAGAAAAAAACTCAGCAGGCTTGTCGAGTAAAACTCTGCAAACTGTTGATGTCTTGAAGGTATTTGTCGACCAGGATTCAAGATTGAGTCTAACTCAATCGCAGAAGCGGAAAACTTGCAACGAATTCGGCTGTCCCTTAGATCTGCTGGAGCTGAAGGCAAACTGGCAAATAGATCGCAGAATGTCTGGTGGTCCATGGGCATTGTCACACTCACTCGACGCTGAACTCGATCCCTTAGAGMCTGACAATGGGGAACATTTAGTCTGTTGGCTATAAGGACTTCGAGCGTTTGTTGAACGCCTTGAAGGCCGGTCTTGTTCAGGAAGGCAAGTTTCACTGCCTCGTTGCAATCCTTGTCATCGACCCAAGAGTCATACTTTGAAGAGTAGCCTCTCCATCGTACCAAGTACTGCGTTCTGCCGATGGTGTCAACACGACGATCAAGAACTTTAGAAACTTTATGCATTTTGGATAAAATTGACAAATTTGTAGACAGTCAGTCAGCTCAATAAAAGCAATGAAGTAATGAACGGTCATTTTATAAAGCCAAAAATTAATTAACATAAGAAAGAAAATTAAGGGCTTTGTTTTAGTTCAGTTATCAAAAATCCGTAAAGGAGCCGATATCTTTCGGRCTTTTCGCCGAAATAACTCTTTATTGCMCGTTTAATTTYGGGCAAATAATTTATCTTTAAACGATTCTGGAAAAGCGGTWATAAATTATAAGAGTTCGTACATAACTTAAAAGCGTTTCAAGCGTTTCCCAAGAATAGTGAAATGATACTACAGCAACTTTTGTTACGAAACTAGTTTTTAACAAGTCAAAGTTACATCCTTTAATTATTGATTTAGTTCTTTAGTCGGCTKTGGGCCCAGGACAACGTGGGTCTTTGGCGCTTGACATCCGACTTCTTCCCTCTGCTCACGGTAAAAACTGACTTTAACCACCGTCATGGCAGAAACAATTTTTTTTGTGGGCTCACATTTCATTTCATACCATATCTTACCGCTCAGATCAAAACCGTTTGTGGCATTTAACAATGATAGTTAATCAGATAGTAATTTCTTGACGTGACGCTGTTTGTCGCGTTTTTTAGAATGCCAGAAACGTTCATAGTAAAAAACCAAGTTACAAGTGACAAGTTACAATCTATTCTATTTTACAATGGCAAGTCCTCCAGTATGCTTGAGGGTAGAATTATCCTATTACAGATTTGTATACAGATTTACTTGAGCATTAAGATGTTCGCCCGCTGATTGACAGGTTATAGTGTCCTAAGCTTTTTTACACGTTTGAACTGAAATGCATTCTACAGTGTTTAAACTGTGGGTCAACTTACTCAAACAATACGTGGGAACGGAAAGAAAGCTGTAGTTTATTTATACTTCATTATTATAGTTTATTTGCTTCATAGTAATTAGCCAAGTGATATTATTAGCGACTCCTAAAAAACCTGAAAACCAAGACCATCAGCTGGGCATGTAGTTCGTTAGTTAATTATACTTMAGTACTGGAAAAAWTACTGCAATATCAAGCATTAGAAGATATTCTCCGTCTTTTCATTCTCTGTCGGAAACACGCGGTATTGAGTGGTGACACAAGAAAAGTCACGATGCGAAACCTTTATTCAAGTTATTTTTAACGTTGGATGGAAATACGGAAAATCACTTCGAATGCTTTTATAAACTATTCAATTTAAAGCAGTGTTTTTATGATACATAAATAATTCATATTTTATTTCTGCCATAGAGAAGTAGTCATATAAAACAGATATTTTATAGTTTTTTTGGATGATAGATATTGAATAATTACTTATAATATAGTATTTTTCACATTGAGTTTTCCAAAAGAGGGCAAATTTTTGTMTTTCATGACCTCCTAGTCATTTGTTTGTCTAGTTCATAGGAATGCTAATATTATATAATCACTCGAAAAACAAGTCTTGTTAACAGACACAAATCAAAATGTAATTAATTGTTTGAAACTATGTCACTGAAGAAAAATAACTTATAGGATTTAACGAACACTGCATATCTTGTAAAACAGCCCTGACAGGGTAATTTGTCAACTTCATTAAAAGCGTTTTTGTTTTTCGGGAATTTTCGGATTAAATCTTTGAGCAAACAATCCAAGTGTGATCAAGTAAAAGCTRATAGCTTCAAACACTTGTTCTTAGTCGCTCTTGATAGCCAAGATGGAGAGACGAATTTTGTACCCGTGCTTTTTTTGCTCTAGAATGTTTAAGAAATTGAGAAGGCTAAAGAAACATTTATTTTATTACCACCACCTGCCTGTTCATACGGAAGACGATAGGTG